CTTAGTTCTGATTATGTGACAATATAATGCATCTCTATACAGAAAACAATTACACAACTAAAATTAAATCAGCATATAAGGATTATTGTTGCTAAACAAAGAAGTATAGGGACATATTTTCTCTTTCAGTTATAGTAGGTATCACAGGTTTCCCATCCAGCATCAACAGAAGGAAAAACTGAACCTCCAGTCTGTGATAGCTCTCTGTCCGACGTTTTGAAGCAATTCCCACACGTCACTATAGGTTCACTCATCACAGAAGCTTTCAATGGAACTTGAGGTAATTAAAGCATTTTATTAATAACTCTATGCCTCACTTTACCCTAATATTTCCTAAACTGCGGCAGCTCTCAGCACTGAAATGTATACTGCCATTTGCTATTACTCTGTGTACTTTTAGATGTAAGCAAAGATAAACAGTTTTAGGTTTAGAACAACAATAAATAAAATGACAATTAGTTTGTTGTTGTTTCAGAGGAAGGAAATTCAAACTATATATGAAAAAGTCAGCTCTCTGTCCATCTATTCCTAGCCAAAAATGTATGTTTTCCGTGCATGTAGCTATGCATATGTGTATGCACTTGTGAGAAATAAAAGCATTTCAAAGAAGCAGCTAATTGAAATATATCAGGTGTAATGAGAACATTACATAAGAACTACTAATTACTAATCAATGAACTTATGTTTCTGTTGAGTCATATCAATACTTTGAACAAGAGACTTCTAATACAGCTGATCTCACAAAATAATTTAAATTCCTTTCTAGATTCCCACAGTAAAAATAACATTTTGTTATTACCATGGAAGTAACATTAGATTAAAAAATTAAATCCAATCTTTCCTGAGTTTTGTAGCATCTGTCAGTAGAACCTGAATTTCTGTTGATGCAGTTATTTATTTTTAATGCAGAATTCATAATAGTACTCATTATTTGTTTCTCCATGTCTTGCTAGGCTATTATTTATATTATCTGTGGTATGTGATCTGTAGAGATGCAGAAAGTTAGGTACCTATATTTTACTGATAAATAGCAGAGGGGATTCACAAAATACTTTAATATATATTACCTAGGAAGAAACAGAGTATGTTAGATATACTTGCTATGTGCAGTGTATTTTCATTATTACATTCAAATGGTATAAAATACGATTAGTGGTCTTTGGATTTTATTGATAATGGCCAATAAGAAAAAAGGTCATAATTATGTTGGATAAGACCGTAAACATTACTGTTTTGAGAATGGATTTAAAACATGCATTCAAATTATATTTATAGGATCTTGAATACATTATCAGAATCATTAGTGTTGAAATACACTTAAATTGAAGAATGATTATTGTGTTAAGTAAGGGTTTTCACTGATTACTGTCACTGATTTTAAAGTAAACATACTGGTACATCATGACCAAAATCCAAACCCTACAATTCAGGCCAAATCCTATCGATGTTTTTCATAAGCTCCTCTACAGAGGAATGGACTTTACTGAAGTAAGTAAAACGAGCAGGATTAACCTCTTCACCGAAATGACAATGACAATTAAAAATGAGCCTGACTTATCTCATCAAACATGATGCTGGAACAATTGTTCAAAACAGTATATGGTTCCAAATCTAGAAACTGCATTGCCTCAAAGACATTCCTTGGCCTTTCAACAGTAAATAAAACCAGGTCAATCAATTGTTTTTCTTTAGTAAATGTGTAACTTTTTAATGGACTTTAGCTGACAAGTCATTACCCGTGAAAATTATTAAGTATATTAATGACACTGATTTTTGAGTTCTTAATACTAGAAAGTTATCCTGGATTGAAGCAGACTATTAATCATAACAGCTATTTTTAAACAGCGCTACCTGTGATCCTGCCTACACCAGAAATTAATGTCACATTACAAGGACATAAAACCACTTTCAGCTATTTCTGAATAACGCCATCAGTAAATAAGCCCTTTTAGTCTATCTTCTACTTTGACAGATTGTCCAAGATACAAATTTGGTCAATAAAACCAAAATGTGATTTTTAAAAGTTAAAAAAGTCACAGCCAACAAACACAATGTAACTTCTAAAGAAGTCCCTAGTTTTGTGTCTGTCTCTCTCCTCCTCCCACCCAAAATAAACAGATCCAGCTTGCAAGATGCTGACCAGCAATGAGAGATGCTGCTCATCCATCACACCCACTCCCTCAGGGGGAGGCAAGAGAACAGAGGTTTTTGCAAGACCTTGTTCAAACTACGGATATAAAACTCAAAAATCTAGAGGAAGGCAACAAAGCATATGAGGAGTACTTATCTTTCCTAATACAGGTCCTGGTTTCTACCCTGCCAAAAGTACACTGAAGAAACACTAAACCAGTGGCTCCCAGGTGAAGATTGTTCCCTGGAAGGGAAACAGTCAGTTTTCACAGGAATATCTTATCTTATGATTGTGTTACATAGCATCTTATGAGACAGTTTGAAAGTTGTTGGAAGGAATATTGTGTTATTATTCCCACAGAAACCAGAGCTGTTACTGTGCCATTGGTCTGCTTCACTACCATACGTGTTTTGTACCTATTAACCCTCATGGTGCCCCTCAACCTTAAGCTTACACTAACTCTGAATGTTATCCAATCAATTTATTTACTTAAATTTAGAAAAGCCTACTCTTAACGTGCCAGGAGGCTCCTTTAAGGTGTTTCACATAATATTTCTTGCTGTATTCTACAGTGCTGCTGTTATACATTTTACCCTTCTAACATAAAATAGATCATGATATCCACACATTATATGTATATCAAGATGTCTACTGTTTCCAATGACAAGTAGATTGTACCTTCTCAAACTCAGATACAAAATTAACTAAAAGGGGAAAGGGAGTAAATACTACAAAGAATATGAAAAAAAAATAAAAATAATCACGGTGATTGTAATTAGTGTACAATAAGAATTTACTGCCCATTTTCCATTTAATTTAAATGTTTATGTAACAGTCCTAACTCTATAGCTTAGCACAAAGGACACACGAGTAGGAGAGGGAGATAGGCAGTATACTGGAGACCTTCTTTAAATTCAGAAGAAGATTGGCTATCATATAAATGTATTTAACTTCATAAAATAAGCATGGTCAAAATTACAACACTTGAATACATGAAGCAGGATATTCAGATTCTGCAGCTTCAGTGACATAAAAACATCCAAGAATATGTCCAAGGAAAACCCTGTCATTGGCCTCATTTGGTTTAGGAGAAACCCAGAACTTATTCAAGCCGCATGAACTGAAATAAATGGGACAACTGAAAGCGATTACCGTAGGAATAATTTCAAAATAAGAGATAGGAAACATACTAGAAACTCAAAACTAGAGATCTTGAACCCACCTCAGTGTCTATTTTCTTGAGAGACATGATAGAGTTTTAAACACAAAAACTTAGATTTAAAAGTATTTTTCATATCTACCATTAAGACAACTATTTTCATAACTACTTTTGTATTTTAATAGAAAAAGGTTACTGTTGACTCAGGTTTTGTTTCATGTATTTAAACACAGCCCTGTGAGATTTTGCAACTAGAAACATTGCAGTCATGCCAATGCACAAAGGGGAACTAGAAAATGAAACCCACTGAAAAACAAACCTGAAACCCATTCATTCAGTAACCAGCAAAGTGAAACGCCAAAGAAAACAAACAACATCAATTGCAAAAATACATGAAAATATTAAATATTAATTGGCTTATGTTTTAGTCATCTGAGGTACCATAAGCAACACAGATAAGGGTGGTTTTTTTAAGAATATATGACTTTAATTGACTTTGTCCCTTTAATGATAAATTTACAATGAAAGTGACATGTCCACCATAATTTTGAAATACAACATAGCTACCACCGATTTGCTGCAAATGCCTTTGCATTATATTTGTTTGTGGCAGAGGAGTAAATCTGACAAAAATAAATTCTTATACACATCAATCCTTGTGGGATTAATAGCAAGATGAAATATTTCAAATTAAATAAATGAAACTAAAAATCATATAAAATAATATAAACATTCCTCTTGCATCTCCTCAAGCAAGATTTTTCTCAGCACATCTAATACACCAGAAAAAAAAAAAAAAAAAAAAAAAAAAGTGAAGAAACAAGATCTGTTTATTGAGAATGAGGTAAAAGGATACAACTGACGTTTTCCTGATATTTTACCTCTTGTCGATTGGGGTATAATAACTTCTCCTAACCTCCAATATCGATGTCAGTCCACCCCCAGAACTCTGAGGCCATTTGTACTGGGAAGAGCACACAGGGCTAATAAATGCATGGCACCCATGAAACTTCTGGTGCATTTGCTGATCCTCTGAGGCCCCTCTCCCAAAGGCTGTCAAAGATGCTAGTGGCAACTCCTCCCATACTTGCTATGGACAGGTCAAGCAGAGATGGTTTTATTATATCTGGAAGAGTTTGCTCTGCCATCTCTCCGTGCTCCCACAATGTGTACTCAAGCATTAGTTGACAAATACATCAAATAAATATCAGATAAAAGCACCCAAAATACGCTTGGTAATGCAAAGAAAGGATATATTTTAAGGTATGGTCAGAGAAGATATTCAAAGCCTCCATTGTTGCTTCTAGAAATGTCAGGACAATTCAGAAATGTCAGTTCCTTTACCAGTTTCCAGATTGTAATTGAAGGATCATGTAGCTCTCTCTCTTTCTCTCTCTTTCTCTCTCTCTAAATAGGTCTATAAAGATCAGCTGGAAAGTGCAGACAGAATTGTTCACTGGTTAGCTTTACTTAGAGCTACAGGGTATATATGTGCTTTGTTTTGTCTTATTGATCAATCTAGCTTACATTTTTATCACACACAAACAAAAATCAGGAAAAAGAAAAAGTCGATGAAAAACACGAACAACACAAAACAAATAAGGTTCCATTCGTGCAAATTTTGCTTCACTGGATAAAGCACTTCTTGATACAGTAATGTCCAGAATCCCCCTCCCCCAGAAAAATACAGGACTGAGACTGAAGCCATTCTTTTTTTTTTTTCTTTTTTCCTTAAGGCTATACAACACAAAGAAATAAAGCATGGAAAGAACACCTTATTGGGCTGAACACTTCATTCTTCTAGCTCTGGAGCGAGCCTTTGACAAAGCAATTGTGTGGTCCGAGTTATTTGTCTCACTGGGACAACAACAAGAGAAAGAAAAAGAGGAAAAAATTAAAGAGAGGAAAAAAAATAAAAAAGAATAAGAAAGTCAATGATCCCAACAATAAAATCCGAAATTGACTTTACAATCACAGGTACAAATTGCTCAGGTCGATAATTTCATTTCTCCTAAAGATCACTGTCGTCTAAAACTAATTAGAGGTGCAGGTTCCCGAGGAATTGTCAATATTCAAAGCAAATGTTGGAGTTTAGAAGGTTATCATTCTTCTACTGTGACAGTCTGACGGGGTGACTGGAAATATTGTCATGTGCTGCCAAGTTCAGGGTGTCATCAATGATTGAATCCTTGCTCCGGCTCATGGATCTGTCTCCTATTTGGCCTTCTTTTATAGTGGAAAGACTAAGAAGCCGGAAAAGGTTGAATATTTCCACCCTCCCATGAGGTTACCCCTTTCCAGTTTGAGATGCACTTTGTCTTCTCTTTCCATGTGGAGCAAGACCCCATTGCTGGCTGCTTCTCTGGTGACGTCCTGATCCCCTGCAAAAGCTGAAATCACTGGGTAGCCGTTTTGCATTAAACTTACCTAAAAAGTGCAAAGAGAGAGAATCTGAGTTTTCTCAAAACTCTCAATGACTTTTTTTTTTTTTGCCCTGGGCACATCACTAAACTTTTGTGCAGGTTAGAAACAGGGTTGAATTAAGCTAAGGCAATGCATGATTTCTGTCATGCATGCAGACCCCTTTAGCTAAAATAAACTACAGTTTCGTTCTCCTTTTGCTGGTTTTGTAAATGCACCTTAGTGTCTAGAAATGAGCATTGGAGGGGGGGGGCGGGGGGGAAGAAAAAAAGGAAAGACAGCATCTTCTTTAGATCACAACCCACCTGGATGGTTTGTCTGTTATAGACCTTGACCACGTGGAAACTGAAACTATATATCCCTTTTCTTGGTGCTACAAATATACTGGAAGCAAGATCAAAATGGTTGCCAATATTAACTAATACCTGGAAAGTAAACAAACAAACAAAACAAAACAAAACAAAAAGGAGAGAGAGAGAGAGAAATCAGACCCCACTTTAGAAAAGCGTCACTTGAAAATGTGACATGAACTCCATGACCGACATAAAGCCTAGTCGAAATGGCATTTGCAGCACAATTAAAAGTGCACTTCAGGGGAAAAGAGCCAAGTTACAGAGGCATTTAAAAAGCATCACAGTTCATAAAAAGATTTAGTTACGCAAAAATGATCTCCAAAGACTAATAGATGAAGTGCAAACGTCCACACTGCACCGTCAATAAAGCAAAGGTGGCAGAAGCGGGGTGGAGGGAAGGAAAGGAGGGAAGGGAAAAAAGCGAAGAAAAAAAAAAGCCCAAACCACGAAACTCCTCAACTCATAATGCAAATGTATGGGGTTTAGTTAGCGCTACTGAAATCAGACCTGCCCTGGAGTTTAATAGGGTATAGAACTAAAATCGTACTGCAGAGAGGGGCGAAGGAGGAGAGACGATGCTCAGCAACAGCAACATCTGCCAGGTGATGCCTCTCTGTCCCTCTGGAGGGCTGTGCTGCCTGGCCCGCACCCTGCCCAGGCGGCTGGGGTGGGCCCGCTCCTCCTGCACGACCACAATCTTAATTTGTCCTGTATTTCAATGTATTTTGAAACAGAGAAAAAAAAGAGAAAGAGTTCAGCCCCCCGGGCTGATGTGCAAAGCCTCACTCGGTAGCGGCGGCCGCATCCTGGCCCCGCAGAGGCTGGCAG